AAAACTAATTCTATTTGTTAATATATAGTTAATTATGAAAAATCAATTCGCAAAGAATTTATGTATAGATAATTTATATTGTGCTATCCAAAACATTATTAAAGATAATTTTTTATACTTTTTTGTTATGTCTACAAAAGATATTAATTTATTACTAACTGTTTTAAGTTCATGAGTATTTTCAAATATAAGTTGTGTAATGAAAATTATTTATATGATGATGAAAAAAATATATATAGAAAGAATTTGTTTAGTTTATTATTAAATATTTTGAGTTTACGAACTATAATTTATTATAATTTACATAAATTGATTATATATTGATTTATAGATATTAGTAAAATTATTAAGCCCGCAAGTGCGGGCAAAACACCTAGTTTTATCATATAAGATAACTGTTTTATAATGTAATCAGCATTATATTTAAGATTGGACTAGAACAAACTTAAGTTAATACTTCAACAACTCAAGATACTTGAAGGAATTCAATATTATTGATAAATCCATTACAAAATAAAAGGCTTAAACTTTAAGAACACACAGCCCAATGATGCTCATGATTAGCACTGGGGGGTTTCGGCAGACACGGATATACAAATACACCATGTCTAGACTAATAACAAACATACTATCTGCCACCATTCTTACTAAGAATCAAACTACTGAAATATAAAAATACTTATATACTTGGTTACTTAAAGACGAAAGACAAAAGGTGATGGTTGAGTGTTCGAGGAGGCATCAGAAACCAACTTAAAGCTGTGGGAAGCTTTTGAATTCGTGAGAGGATGATCAATCTTGACATCATAGTCACCATGGAAAAGTGAGGCTTCAAAGAATCCATTAGCATCAGTGAGACCTTTGGTTTGTCCGCGGAAGCCTCCCCATTCATGCAGAAGTTTGTCCACCACATCACCTGTGGGTAGATTCTTGAAGTTTCCATCGGTGAGGCACATTCGGTAACAACCTTTTGGAGAATAACCTGCCCACGTCACTATTCCTTTAACATGAGGATGTGCGTGGCCTTCCCTTAGGACCTGTTCAAAATACTTGGCCTACAAGAAAACCGAACATCAATCAGATAATGATGTGCTCAAGGCCCTAAACAAAAAAATGGATGTGAGAGACAAGATTTTTTTTTGCTGACTATTATGAAGAGTTTGGGAACATTTGTTAACCATAATAATAGAATATGAGTTACCTGAACATTAGGAGGAGCTTCTACGTCGACCTCAGTGAGCCAAATAGGCAAACCAGTGGCACCAAGAGTGTCAAGAGCTGATCTCATAAAGGGAATGTTAGGAGTCTTAAAATGAGACTCAAGACCAATCCCTAACGAAACATTTCCACGAACCACGATAGGTTTAAGCTCCCTAAGCTTCTTCAAATACTTTGCGGGACTAGAATCTGAATCCCTCGGTTCCTCTAACGTATTGTACTCATTTATAAACTTAGTTGTCGTTGGATCAAATGCCTGCGCCATCTTAAAGATGTTATAAGAAGCCATAGGACCCATCTTTTTCTCAAAGTAGGAGAAATGAAGATTCTCATTCACAACGTCCCAACCCTCAAGATGTCCTTTGTATCTCGAAGCTACGGATTTAACTCTTTGCTTCACTGCATTGTAGAGGTCAGGACCAGAGAGGGAGTATAGCCATTTAGGTTGATACTTAGGGTCGTTCCATACAATATTGTGACCACGTACAGGGACCCCATGCTTCTTGAAGAATTTCAACATCTTATCAGCGGTTGAGTAATCCTCTTTGCCTCTAACCACTTCAGTGCTGTACCATTTCATCTCGTTGGCGAAAGTTGTCACTGTGAACCTTTTAGTGAACCAGTGTTGGTATGCGTGACTGTCAAGTATGTTCTTCTCTACCTCGCAGCCGAATGGGAAGCCGAGTTTCCTCTGTTCTATGGAAAGGCTTGCCTTCTGTACCGGCTCGCCTTTGTTGTTTAAGACTCTGATTCTCACGGTTCTCTTTCTCTCCTTCTGAATGCTCTGATGGTGGTGAGAGTTCCACTCTTCTTGTGTAAATGGTTGCAGCGAGACGCTATCTACCCAAATCTCAACCATTGTGTTGTTGCTCTACACATGAGCAATGAAACAAGACACGAAATGAGAAAACTGGCGCTTATAACGTGGAGATAAGTTTTCAAAATGTGAAAAACTAGGTCTGGCCAAAAAGTCAGATGCCAAATGCGAATCAAATGTGAACCGAAAAACTTGAATCTGTATCTAATCCAAGATGGCAAAATATCCTAATGGTCATATAAGGTGTGATATACAATAAAATGTATCCAAACTCGAACGGATACCCCCAAAAGTTTTAAATCCGGAAAACCGGATCCAAAAATATTATTCAAACTCTAATTGAAATAATCTGAAACCAAATAAGTATGGCTACGAATTCTATCCGAACCCAAAGTGTTATTATTTGAATTCGATCCAACTAGCTGTAATAATAGCAGAACGGGACCTAAGAAGCTGAAACCCAAAAATCTGAATTTCTATAAAACGCAGCCCGAACAAATGCCTCTAAAAAACACTCGAGACCATAATATGATTACCTCGAAGTAGAGTTCGGCAAGGCCAGATTGATCAACAGTGAGACCACCTTTGAGCATGGTCCAACATTTGGATTCAGCAAAAACCAAACCGGCATGCTTATATTCACCGTTTATCTTGAAAACGGCACTCACTGGAGCCGTTCCTTTGTCTACTTGTAGCCAAGCTATGAGGAAAATAAAACAAAGGACACCATTGTTCTGATAGGGCTTACAAAATTCGAAAGTATGCGCTCCAAGAAACAATAAAACCTAAATTTATTTTTACCAGAGAAAGTGTAGAGACGTCCCTTTTCCAGATGAACCTTCTGTGAGACGCTGTCATGAGGTTGTTTCCTCTCTCGTGCGACAACAAATTTATCGTTTCCAATATCTTTAAATTCGATTTTTGCGTTTCCAAACGGTAACCAAGCTTTTGGACCATCTCGTAAGTCAGGGTTCACGATAATTCCTCCATTGTACTGTGGTTTTAAAGGTTTATCTAGACACTGCACCAAATCAAAACAAAAGACAATGAGAATTAATAATTTTAATAGAACATGTCCCAATTTAGAAAAATGAACATAACATTGCTTGCCTCTACGGTTGCAGAATAATCATACGGTACAAACGTTGATTCACATCCTGCAAATGTTTTCAAAAATAAACAAAATATTCAATATTAATAAACAGAAGAAATTAAGAATCTTATGATATGATGGATAACAACTTGATAGAGAAAAGCTCCAGAGGGCAAGCAGATGCAGAAGGAGACGCTTCATTGTGACGATTATGGAGTTTTGTTTTTGTTGATGTTATTCTTATGCCTCTCCGAAGAGATATATATATATAGTAGAAATCTTTACTATTCTTAAAGATCTTGATATAACTAATGAGCAAAAAGAAGCTTTACTAATCTTGATGGTCTTGATATATATTATCAACTTTTAAACATACTAGTTTTGGAAAATAAAATTCAATATATTTATCCATGAACTATCAATAGGAACACAATCTTAACTTTAAAATGTTCTCAAAGATTCAAAACTTTTAGAAAGGCAAATATAGTCTAGTCCGTACATAAGTCAACAAAAATATAGTTGACAAAAAAAGGTAAACAAATTAGAGTCAATAATCAACAGTTAGATTTGTGAACTATTAAGTTCTTAATAGAAACATACAAAATTATTGTTATGTTGACACAATTTCATATCAATGAATAGGGATTTATTAATTTTGTATAAAATGATAAAGTAAATCCTGGTTTTACAAATTAGATATTTTTTATAAACTGATAATTTAATTTTGGTGATTTGTTTACAAATTAGATACTTTTCTATATTAAACTAAAGTAAAGATGAAAAAATAGTAAATAATATAATTTTTCTTATTACATATACTAAACATCCTAGAAGAGAAAATGTCTGCAAAAATTCTCCAATAGAATATTACTACATCATTTTTGTTTGCAACAATAAAATCTCAGATTTAATGTTTTACTTTAAAGGGTGTTGGATATACACAATGACTGTCATAAACTCATAGATGGATCAGAAGAGATATAGCCCCGCAAAATGGAAAGAAAGTACGAAACAAATAAAGTAGTAATGAGAGAATCAATCAGTTTTTCTGGCAGGCCCTTTGAGCATGTTGTTCTGACTTGACCTAGAGGACCACTCAAGACATGATAGCTAGCTTCATTATGGACATGCAATGTAACGTAGGAACAACTGTGTATCTTCGGAGCATTGTAGGATTCTCTGATTCGTTGATGATTATTCTCTCGGCGTAGGGGCAAGAATGTTGGTAGAAATCGTAGTGGAGTGAGTAAAGGTTGTTTGATATCTTTGGCGATAGACATGGAAAAAGACATTAAATCATCATCGAAAGGGAGTTTTTTAAGAAGAGTAAAAGAAGCGGGAAGTATATATACAATTACGGATATGCACTTGATCGTAAAATAATTGGTTTGGCGGTTAGTTACCGATTAGTTAATCCTCCGTGTGCCCGTTAGCGAGTTAGTTGGAATCAAGTGTTCCACGTAGTGTAGCAATGACAAACAAAACAATTGGACCAACAGTGAGATCTTTCGAGATGTGGGCTTCATGTATAAGACTACTTACTGAAAGTAAAATATCAATGGGCCTTCCGATGATTCATAAAGCTCAAGTCCATCACGTGTAGGCCTAACATCCTGAGTTTTCATCTCTTCCTCAAGGGTCAGAAGAAAAAAAGCAGAAGAATGACAAAACAAGGCTGTTGTACGGTTCAGGCCATTCAACTCCCAAACCATTTCACGCCAATTTTATCTGTAGGAAGAGCGTAGTTCACTTTTAAATTCCAGATTTTTCTCCTTGGGTCCTTTTAATGGTACTCTCTCTAATCATCTAAAGTTAAGTCGAAAAATCAGTCTTTACAAAAATATTGTTTATCTTCTTCGTTTCCTTATGGTATCAGAGCTGACATAAACCTTAACAGGTAGCGATGGCAGATCCTTTGAATCTGTATCATTTTCCTAGCAATGTCCATGTCCTAAGTTGTGTTACTCTCAAGCTTAACGACACCAACTACCTTCTATGTAAAACCCAGTTCGAATCTCTGCGGTCAAGTCAGAAACTCCTCGGTTTTGTGACAGAAGCTGTGGAACGACCTCCTGCAACTCACACTGTAGTCCGTGACGAAGTGAATGTTGAGGAAAACAATCCTCAGTATAAGTCTTGGGTCTGTTCAGATCAGCTTGTATGCTCTTGGCTTTTTGGAACTTTATCAGAAGAAGTTTTAGGCTCGGTTCATACCTTACTAACGTCAAGAGAAGTGTGGTTGTCCCTAGCTGAAAACTTCAACAAGATTTCTCTATCCAGAGAGTTCTCTCTTCGCCGTATTCTATAGATCCCCACCAAGAAAGACCAAACTTTGTATGTCTACTGCCGTGATTTTAAAGACATTTGTGATTCCTTGAGCGCTAGTGGGAAACCTGTGGAGGACTCGATGAAAATCTTTGGGTTTCTCAATGATCTCAGCCAAGAAAATGACCCAATCACATCGGTCATACAGAGTTCTCTCACCAAGTTTACAGCTTCTACCTTCAATGATGTTGTCTCGAAAGTTCAGGGCTTTGACGCAAAGTTGAAGACTTATGAGGAAACCAGCTCTGTTTCTCCCCACCTTGCCTTCAATACTCAAAAGTAAGAGCTTCAATCATCTGCTCCCTCTTACAACCCAAACTACCGTGGTCGTGGTCGTGGTTGTGGTTGCTCTGGCTATTACAGAGGTAGAGGTGGCTACACTACTAGAGGCAGAGAATTCACTCAGCATCAGACCTCAGGCACTACTCAGGGAGAGCGTCCTAAGTGTCAGATCTGTGGCCGCATAGGTCATACTGCTCTAAAATGTTACAATCGTTTTGATAATAATTATCAAAGTGCTGAGGCCTATTCTTCTTTCTGTGTTGCTGATGAATCAGACAAAGACCGGCTTCCTGACTCTGGTGCGTCATCTCATGTAACTTCCTCTACAAGCAACCTTCAAGTATCTCATCCGTATGAAGGTTCTGATGTAGTTATGATCGGTGATGGTGCGTATCTGCCCATCAGTCATGTTGGTTCCACAACACTCACTTCCTCATCAGGTACATTAACTTTGAATGATGTTCTGGTTTGTCATGATATTAAGCAATCATTGCTAGCGATTTCTAAGTTATGTGAGGATTATCACTGTGGTGTTTTTTTTTTACTCTAGCCATGTATATGTTATTGATCTGCTGAAGCAGAAAGTGGTGTTAAAGGGACCCAAAAATAAGGGTCTTTATGTGTTGAAGGATCAAGTGTTAGCAGCATACTTCTCAAATAGGAATGTTGCAGTCTCGGAAGATCTGTAGCATCATTGTCTAGCTCACACCAACAACACCGTCCTTCAACAACTTATCACTAGTAAGGAGATTTCTGTCAATAAGAGTAGAACATTCCATGTATGTCAGTCTTGTCTGATGGGGAAGAATAGTAAATTGCAGTTTGTTTCTTCTAGTTCTCGTGTCAATAAGCCCATAGATCGACTCCATTGTGATCTATGGGACCCTTCACCTATTGTATCAACTCAGGGATATAAATATTATGCAGTATTTGTGGATGATCATACTCGTTTTACTTGGTTGTATACCTTGTGTGCAAAGTCTGAATTCTTCAACATCTTTGTTGCTTTTCAAAAGCTTGTCAAGAATCAGTTTTCAACAAAGATAAAAGAGTTTCATGTGACAGTGGTGGTGAGTTTATCAGCAATGAGTTCAAGCTTCATCTACAGAAGTGTGGGATACAACAAAGGATTTCTTATCCTTATACTCCGGAACAAAATGGCACAGAAACACATACACGTTATTGAGCTAGCTCTATCGATGATGTTTCACTCACACATGCCTCTGCATTACTGGCTAGAAGCGTTTTTCACTGCAAACTATGTGATTAATCTTCTTCCTTCAACAAATCTAAAGAACTGCAGTTTCTTTGAGCTTCTTCATAAAGACACTACTCTTTCCTTCGAGTTTTGGGCTGTACTTGTTATCCGTGTTTACGCTCAGTTACAGCTTACAAGTTCGAATCAAGATCATTACAATGTGTTTTTCTTGGGTACTTCTCGAACTAGAAGGATTACAGATGCATGTATCCACCTACTGGCAAAGTTTACATCTCCAGGCATGTTGTTTGCAATGAAGAATATCTCCCCTTTAAAGAGCAATATCAGTCGTTGGTGCCTAAGTATAAGACAGCTTTGCTGAGAGCTTGGCAAAAGGCAACAGAGGCTTCTGAAACACCACCCCAAAATACAATCGTGAGGTCTTTTCCTCCACCAAACCATGAGCTTGTGCTGCCTCATTCTCAACCTCAGATGCTAGATATTAATCATGATCAGAATGAAGCAGTAATTGGGGATCTGCTGGATGTTGAAGCTCAACCTCAAAAACCTACGGCTGTTGTTAATTCTCATCCAATGCAGACACGAGGAAAGTCTGAGATACAAAAGCCTAATACGAGATATGCTTTGGTTGCTTCAAAACACACAGCCAAAGTCCCGAAGAATATTGTAGAAGCAATGGCTCACCCAAGCTGGAATGCAGCAGTCACATATGAAATGCAGACGATTCACATGCTTCATACATGGACTTTGGTTCCTCCCTCTGAAGATATGAACTTCTTAGTAGCAAGTGGGTTCATAATGTGAAGTTTAATCTTGATGGCACAGTTCATAAGCTCAAATCCCAACTGGTTTCCAAGGGCTACGAGCAAGAAGAATGCATTGATTACCTCGAGACATTTAGTCTTGTAGTAAGGACAACGACAATATGTTTAGTTCTTGATGTAGCTGTTGCTAAAGGGTGGAGTATGAAACAAACTGATGTCATGAGTGCCTTCTTGCATGGAGAATTAGATGAACCAGTCTACATGTATCAGCCTTCAGGGTTCATTGATGCATAGAAACCAGATCACATTTGCAAGTTCACAAAAGCTCTATATGGTTTGAAACATGCTCCAAGGGCGTGGCTTAACACATTCAGTCACTTCCTGATAGACTTTGGTTTCACCTACAGCAAGTTAGACCCTTCATTGTTCACTTTTCATCGTGAAGGCAACACTCTACTACTGCTTCTGTATGTGGATGATATCCTCTTAACAGGCAACAATGACCATCTTCTGCAGCAATTACTACAGAAGCTGAATGAACGATTCTCCATGAAAGATTTGGGAGCACCATAATATTTTCTAGGTATTGAAATCAAGTCTCATTCTGGTGGTCTAGTTTTGCATCAAAAGTCTTATGTAGATGACGTTCTACATCAATCTGCTCTGTCAGACTGCAATCCTATACCCACACCTCGTCCTCAACCAGATGATAAACTAGATGATACTCTCTTCTCTGACCCTACCTACTTCAGGAGCTTGGCTGGTAAGTTGCACTATCTCACTATCACGCGTCTTGATATTCAATATGTTGTGTGCCAAAGGATGCATCTTCCAACGGTATCAGATTTTGGGCTCTTAGAGAGGATCTTAAGATATGTCAAGGGCACTCTGGAGTATGGTTTTCACATACAGAAGGATAGGCAGCTTCTTCTTTCATCATACTGTGACGACAATTGGGCAGGTTGTCATGATACAAGACGTTCTACAAAGGGATTATGTGTGCTCTTAGGACCTAATATCCTGTCTTGGACTACAAAAAG